ACCTAACACAAGCACACACAATGAAGCATGCAAACTGATTCACGCGGAACGTCCAACGCCCACCCAGGTGGTGCTCGAAGAGTGCCCCGCCAAGAATGCTACCTATGAGCGGCCCAACACCAAGCACCATCGCACTAAGAAACCCAACAGAGTAGTGCGACAGCGACGGGGCGAACACGCGGCGCCCAAAGTGCATCCCAGAGAGCCACATGAGGACGAGGGCAAAGCCGTGCAGCGGCTCGAGGAAGAGCACGAGCCAGCGGGTTTGTACAGTAACGAGTAGCCCAGCACACGCACCACCTACATAGCCATCGACGTGAACATCAGCTGCCTGTCGTTGGCGAGCTCGTGGATATATGTGGAGCACTGCAACAGCGGTATCTTGACCACGACGGTTCTCATGACGGAGATGCCGAGGAGGATCGACGGCGCGTCGGTGGAGTTGAGGAATATGAGCAGGGGCGTGCTGCTGAGAGTGCAGCCCATTCCCATGAAGCACAGGGCAGTGAGGAACACAAGCCGATGCCGGTGCGTGACGACTTAGCGCACCACTCTCGCATAATTCATTGTGGCGCACTGGGGTTTGTCGTCCAGCATAATCGTGAAGACGATGGACATGGCAAGAAACATGCCAGCAGTATAAAGCATGCCCAGCGTCCACTAACCCCCTCACCCAATGAGCGCCGAAGGGATCAACACCCCCACTGCCCACCCGTACGAGCGCATTGTGTCCCACTGCGCCTTGCGGTCGGGCGGCTGGATGGACATGGCGCGCTGGCCCATGAATGGATCCATCAGTATGCGGTAGACATAGTGCAATACCATCATGAATGTAATGATAGGTTTGGAGTTGGAGAGTGTGATAACTGTGAAGTGAATCGCGGATCCGACCGCACTACAGAGGTGTATCGTCATGGCGCAGTGGTAGCGAACCGCGAGGTTTGACAAGGGCGGAAGCAGCAGAACAGTGTAAAGTGGCATGACGGCGAGGATTGCCCCGACACTGAACAGCGTGAAGCCCTTGCTCTCCAGAAGAAGGCCGTAGTACGGAGACGACGAGAGGCCCATGCACATGGCGAAGTAGCCGGCCTTTGCACACACATTGCCGGCCAAGATGGACACCTCAAGCGACTCGCCATCGGTGGCGGGGGCGAGACGCACTGACAGATTCCACAACGATGGAAGCATCCGCGAAACCGTTTCGGTTTTCCACGTCATGCGTGGCGTCACTACTGGTGCTATTCGGAGTGTCATCTGCTCTGCGCATGCTCGGGTCTACCTACACCTATGAAATAGAACACTTGCGGAACGCAAGCCTTCTTTCGGTCTCTCCTTTATTGAATTGTGACACACCACTGTGTGGTGTGTGCATGGATGTGGGCTACACGTGGTTCTTTTGCGTGTGTGTATATGCATGTATATGTATGCGTGGTAACTGAGAGGCACATAACGGAAAAGAAGTGTGTAGCACAGGACAGTAACAGCCGCAGGTAGAACTGCTGACATAAACAATACGGACAAACAAATCACCTTTTCGTCCATGCACGTAGGCGGGGTTACCCACTCGTCAGAGCGCTTCACTTAAAGTGCTTCTTCATGAAGTGCTGAAATGCCGCAGTGTTCTGCGCGTTGTTTTGCACCGCCTCCCACTTGGCTTTTTTGGGTTCACGCTTTTCCTTACCAGTAGCGGCGACGACACCGCGCTCCCGCCACTCCCGTCTTCGAAACAGCACATCATGATTGTAGGAGGAGACACCACCACCACCACCACAGTTACTGCCACTGTTGCCACCGCCTATGTCAGTCGTGCGTGCAGCGGCAGTACCAACTCTTTCTTCTCTTGTCCGCTGTTTTTCAGAACGCATCTGCTCGATGCGTCTTCTCTCCCGCTCCAACTCCGCCACATCATCCTCGTCATCGGACTCACTTTCCTCGGAAGACGAGGCCCTTGCACGAGCTCTGTTACCCTCATCCACAGCCTTTTCTGCATCGGTACGGTGCACATCGTCTGTGCCGCCTATCTCGGACGGCGGCCTCCTGTCAGCGTCCTCATCCACGTCAGCAGCAACCGAGGAGGACGGCGGCGGCGGCGAGGATGGCGTTGCTGGCTGCCCCTCCACAGTGGTGCGGCGGCGTTTGATGCCCACCTGCGCCGGAAGGCTCTCCTTGTGTACGACACACCGGCTCATTATAGGGACTCCTGCGCTTCTCGGTGTCGTCCCTTGTTTCTTACCCTTTTCTTTCTTACTATTCGTCTCCTTTCCCTGTTTCCAGTCGATGACGCTCGCGTACCTTTCAAGAAGAGTAACCGCAGCACCGCAAGAAAGCGAAAAGGAGCAGCGCCACCTCAAGAGAGAAGGAACCATGGAAGCACAACAACAGCAGCGGCAAAAATGAAGGGGATACCACAACCCGAGAAGTAAACAAAATAAAACAAAAAAAAAAGAGCACTCTTGTGGCAGAAAGAAGAGGCGCACCACACCACAACTCGCTTGATACCTCCAGTATGCCGTTAAGCTGTTGTCTGCAAAGGAGGCGGCGTTGAAACAAACTGAAGCTCTCGCCTCTCCAGCAAGTCCTCCAGCGAGTCCCTGTGCAGCGCCGCGGCGTTGGTGGGCGACAGGCACATTTCGAGTACCTTGTTGTACCACCGCATCACCACGTGATGGGCATCTAGCAAAAAAAGCACCAATTCAAACACTATTTTTTTCTGTATGGATACAGTAGCTGCGTACATCCGCTCACGCAAAGAGGCATCACGCCTCATTCGAAATTCGGCAGCCGCCGCCGCCTGCTCTCGCCGTCGCTGATCAGCGTCAGGGTCGAACACAGGCAGAGCCGTCGCCATCCTTGTTGCTGCTGCCGCTGATGCTGGCTGCGGTTCCTGTGCTGCCGCGGGGGAGAAGATACACTCTAGCTGTGCGAGGTAGCGCTGCACACCCGCGTAAGTGTCGATGGGGCCGAGCCCCGCCACCGCGCTTCGCACGAACATATTCACCCGGTTGAGTGGCGCGCCGTAGAGGCGATTCAGTCCGCGCAGAATATCAATGCTGCGCCCTACCAATGCCAACTCGCGTGGCACCTCCTCTTGATTAGCTAGTAGTGTTTTGGCGCGACTATGTGCGGCAAGTTGCATTTGACGGACTTCCTCTTTTGTAACCTCGCCGATCTTGCCGCGCCGGAAGGATTCGTACGGCTTTTGCAACTGTATAGAGGCAAACATTTCCGCGTCAGTAATGCCCCATGACCCGACGACCTTCTTTACGGTCTCAATATCCTGCGACACAATCGACTTGAAGAGCAGCGCATACTCCATACGAAACCGCTCCGTCTCCGGGCAACAGAGACCGAAGTCCAGCAGCACGACCTGAGGATTCTTAAACTTCCCCATAAGCGGCTTTTTCGACCCATTCCGCCACGCTTCACTCGGGGAAGGCCGAACCAGAATGTTCGCTGCGTGTGGGTCGCAGTGGACAAAGCCGTGCTTGAAGATCATGTCCCCAAAGGCGTCAAATATGGTGCGCAGAACCCTAACTTCATCAAAGTGCTCGCGTACTGTATCCACATCTATGAGCTTTACAGCATCTATCCACTCCAGCACCAGCATGCGTGGAGTGACGAACTCTTCATACACCATTGGAACGTACACGTTTGGGTGTGTGGCGAGGTCGCGCCGAATACGTGCCGCGTTGCTCGCCTCGATGGAGAAGTCCACCTCGCGACGAATGCCCTCCACGACGGTCTGACGCGCCCACGCCAGTGGGAGGTCAAAGAGGGCACCAATCGCCCACGTGACAAGGCGGTACGTCTGCAGGTCCCAGAACACCTGGTAGCGAATCTGCGGCTTCTGTACCTTCACGGCAACCTCAACCGGTATGCCGTCTGGGGTCGGAGGCCGCAGCCAGGCACGATGCACCTGCGCTATCGAGGCGGAGGCCACCGGCACCGGGTCGAAGCGCGTGAAAAGCTCCTCCACGGACTTGCCCGTTTCCTCCATGATGATGCGCCTGATATCTGCCACCGGCACCGACGGGGCGTTGTCGAGCAGCACCTTGAGAACCTCCATGTATTCGCGTGGGAGGACGTGGTTCAACGCGTTGAGTCCCTGCCCCAGTTTGATGTAAAGCCCCTCATTCTGCAGACACACACTCAAAACGGCCTCGGCTGCCGTGCGATGGAGGTCCGCACACTCCTCAGGTGTTGTAGGCGACGTCGTCTTGTACAGGTAAGCGATGCACGCTGCCGTCTTCACGGCTCGCAGCGAACGGGTGAGCGAGTTGGCCGTTGCGCAGTCCACACACGCAATACCTGCTGCCGTCACGGCCGCCCCCACAAGAAACCGACGCCCCCACTTGTGTGCACGCGATGGGGCAGCAGGAATCGCACGGTGGGGGAAAAGCCGCATGATCAAAAAACAGATGAGGAAAGAGGGTGGGACCCTCTTTCCTTTCGGCTGGAGATGGGCAAAACAAAGAAGCGGGAAAATGATGTGCGAGTCATTAAACACCCCAAATGAAACAACAAGATTGAGAATCGCCCCACACCACACCCAGCGAGGTATATCAGAAGACATAAATAAAGCAAAACTCCGCTCCACTGCCCGTGGTTTACGTTCTTCAGGCGCGCAATGCTTCCTCCACCAAGGCCAAACCTTCGGCAGTCTCTTCTACCTGCACCATCTCCACATTAAACAGCACAGAACACGACGCACAGCGTGATGGGCTCGACGGGTACACGCACTGCCCCGGCCCCACAGCATCCATCTCACTCACGCCGCGCTCACCTCCTCCATTTTCTCCGCCTTCGGCACCGTCAATTGTAACGACATCAGCTACCTCAGTGTAATTCACCATCCAATCGCAGACGGCGATGCAGATACGAAACAGCGCGCACACGACCGTCATGGAAAGCGCGGTGGCACGCAACATTCTCCTCGCCCCCAGCACACCGTAGAGAAACCCGCCCATCACGTTCCCCAGAATGGAGCCAACACCGAACATACCCACAGTGAGGAAACCCATGGACGAAGAACTCAAATCCGCTGGGAAGCATCGCTGCACTAGGCTTACGCCCGCCAGCCACATGGCACCAAAGGTAAAGCCGTGAAGCGGCTCAAGGAAAAGCACCAGCCACGGGTTGTGCAGCACAGAGTAACCCAACACGCGCACCACCCACGCCACCATCGCAGCAGTCATAAGCTGCACTTCCGTGAAGCGGTCCAAGAGCCACCTCGATTGACAGAACAGTGGGATCTCAATAACGACAGTTGCAGTGACGGAAAGCCCAAGCAACACTGGATGGGCGCCGAGCTCTGCAAGAAATATGAAAAGATAGGTAGAAATAATCACGTAGCCCATTCCCATGCAGCACATCGCCACCCAACAGACGAGTAGCTGTTTATGCTGTAGGATAAACATCAGCACCTCCACGCACCGCATCTCCGTTGGTGGCACCGCATCGTACGGCTTGCCACAGTACATACAATGCAACGTTGCAACAACACCAATCGCAAATACTACACCGCTTGATGCCCAGCCAAAGCACCAAACCAGACACGCGACAAAAGGAGCTCCAATCCCCCACCCATACGTGCCGTAGGAGCGCACAACACCCCACTCACGACGCCGATCCTCTGGGAACATTGCCATGGTGTGCTGGTCCATGAATGGTGCAAGCGGGACAGATCCTACAAAATGCAAGATGATGCCCAACGCGACAAGCCAGCGCTCCCTCACCACACAAGCGAAGAGCAGCGCGACAGTGGCCAACACAACCCCCGCAGCGGCTATATGGGCGTTGCAGCGATGCCTATCTGCCACGTACGACAACAGCGGGAGGAGGGCAAGGTTGCAGATCGGCATCATGGCCGTTACCATGCCGACCGCATCTGGATCGAAGCCCTTTTCCGCGAGAAAAAGCCCGTAGTACGGCTGCACTGCCGCCAAGGCAAAGTACGTGCCAAAATAACCCGCCTTCGCAACCGCCAGAGACAAGCACGGCGAGGTGGTGATCCCGCCAACGGGTGGCTCACCTGCCATGTCCCAAGCGCACGAATCGTCCTGTTGGTGCTGCCGAGTCTCAAAAAAACGTCGGGCGCTACTCACTCGCCGTGCACGGCCCGAATCACTTCTTTGCACGGCTATCCTCTAGGCCAAAAAATACAAAGAAATCCACTAAGAAAATGCCGACATTACCAACGGCAAAAAAGCACCGAATACAACGAGCCACTTTACCATATTCTTACCCACCGAACGACTCTCGACAAGGACACGGAACGCAAGGCCAAAAGGGAATAAAGCAACAACACGCATACGAAGGGTGACCATGGATGCAGCCTTCTCGGCCGCCCCTCGAATTACAACACAATGCCGTACCACACTCTTGAAGGGGTTCGTCAAGTACTCTCTCACCCATCGAGCGAGCCAGCGGGTGCTGTCCAAAATACCGTGCACATCCCAGCTCGACCATACTGCCTTGCTGCTGCTTCTGTTGCAAGGAGGGCAGCACACACGAAGACAGCGATGGCGCCGCACTCCCCGCAACACATCTCAGTGCAAAACCACGCAATGCCCCATATGATCGTGCAGCGCGCCACAGTCATGCCGACCAACGTCCGTTGCGTCAAGAGAAAAATACACAGGTACTAAAGCTGCACATTGCGCGCGGGATGCCTCCTCGGCCCGCCCTCCACTCGACGTTACAACCGCGCCTGCACCCGTGTGGGCCACGCGGAGGCACCAGAGCCGATGCCACCACGCTCGTGGGTGTGGACCATCCTTCACGCTACTGCCTTGGCATCATCGGCACTCACACGAAAACACGGGCGAAGAGAAAGCTGAATGCACCGCCACCGCGGAAAAACCGCCACTTCCAGCCAAGTTAGTCACGCACAAGCAGCACAACAACTCACGCCCTCCTACAGAGTCAAGCCATCAATGAAACCCACAGAAAAATAGTCCACACATTATTAAAACACCTCTCCTAAAAGGGACGAAAGCACATTACATATACGAACATTTCATTTGCTGATGATAGAAGAAGCAAGATACATTACAAAGGCCAGACCATGCAGTGATGCAGGCAGAAAAACCGCCACTTCCAGCCAGGCTAGTCACGCACAAGCAGCACAACAACTCACGCCCTCCTGCAGAGTCAAGCCATGAATGAAACCCGCAGAAAAATAGTCCACACATTATTAAAACACCCCTCCTGTCAGGGATAAAAACGCATTGCAGACGCGAACATTTCATTTGCTGATGACACAAGAAGCAAGATACATTACAAAGGCCAGACCATGCAGTGATGCGGCAGAAAAACAGACAACACAAAAATAATGGCGAAGCAATCCGCAAGGAGGCCATTTCACTACATACATGGAGAAAATACGTCATGCCACGCCCAGACGATTCTTTGCAGAGACGCCTATTTTAGGCACAGGGGAGGAGGAAGACAGCAGCGAAAATAACCGGTAAGAAAACACAGGGTCGACTTTGCGTCAACCGCATATATATTAAACCAAGCCTATACATAGAGCCAGCAACGCCACTTGCCGTTTTCAAAGTTACGCTGATTGAAAGCACAGGGGAGGAGGAAGACAGCAGCAAAAATATCACGGAAGGAAACAACGGCACAACTTTGTGTCGGCCTGATACAGAAAATAAAAAAAAAATGGAAATTGGAACAAACTAATTGGCAATTCATATCTCTCCGCCATCATCCTCAGGCAACGCATAGAAGAGAGGTGCGCCGCCCCGGCTGGTTCGATGTCTGCGCGATCGCAGTGGATTCGCTCGTCTTCGTGTGGGGACTTCATTCGTTGTTTCTTCATCATCTGCCTCAACGACATTCAGAAGCTCTAGCCCATCATCCTCCACCACCAGATCTTCATCATTGATCACCTGCGCGTCACCCTCCGTTTCTGTTCCCGCGCGGCTGCTCAGCGGTGCGTTGTCTTCGCTCACCTGCTTGCCCTCCTCACCTTTCACTTCTTCTGCACGCTCCAGGTCGCTTGCGGTGCCGCCACCAACGCCGACGTCCATCTTCCACTGCCGGTGCTCGTACCACCACACCACTATAACGTACACGCTGATCGCCAGCAGCACGAACATAAGCAGGATGATGATCGCCACGTACGCCTTCACACCGCTGTTGTTCGGAGACAGGTAGTTCGCCGCGTTGACCAGGCACAGCACCGCCATCAGCACGAAGCCAATCGTGTGCATCACCGTCAGGAACGTGGAGCGCATCATGTTTGTGAGGGCCAGCACGCTGGCACCAGCGAGCAGCACCACTGCCATGCAGAAGTACGGGATGTGGCACTTGCCCACAGGTGGCTGCACGGCCGCAATGATGCCCGCCAGACACAGCACCGTCAGCCGGAAGAGGCACCAGTACGCGTAGCTGCCCCTCACGGTCGTGAATACGCTGCCGTACATATGCTCCTGCGGCGTGGGGCACCAGTACCCGACGGGGTACAGCCATCGCTTGTGGGGCGGCTTCTTCGAGAACTTCCAGTACTTCGTGAAGCTCACGCCGGTGTAGTGTGTGATGAAGTAGTACACGCCGATCTGGAACGCCAATCCGCACAGTGCGCCAAACACACCGAGCACGTAGTACGCAGCGCCGGCATTGGGTGTCGCCAGCATAAACACGGAGCACACGAAGATGCCGAGGTACATCAGACACGCCACGAGATACGCCAGGTTCGGGAACCGCAGCACCGCCCACGCACTCGCCGTGCCCACGCCGCGCCGCCGCCGGTACGCCACTGTCAGCGCGTAGTGCAGGCAGCCGAAGACAACGGCGACCAACGCGTTGCCCACCACCATCCAGAGCAGATCGAGGGCGGCGAACACTGACAGGAAGTACGGCAGCGCAACGCAGATCGCACGCTCATGCACCGTCGCGCACGACATCCTTGCAAACACGCCGAGCGTCTGTATCTCCAGGATGGGGCCAAGCCCACCGGTAATCACAAAGGCAACCGTGGCCACGCCGGCAACGATCCCGATGATTATTGCGAGCGCGTTTATCAGCGATGGCGGCGTGCCGGATACAACCGTGAAAGGCCCCACAAGCGCGCCGCGACACCCGCCGTACACAGCAGTCCCGTTGGACAAGACGAGTATCTTCTCGTCCACCCCGATGAAGTATCCGCTGTACACGGGCACGCCGACCTCCAGCACGCTGTACGGGCTCGTCGCGCTGCGCTCCCACGTCGCGTTGCGCAGCATGTCTCCCCACGGCCCGCTGAAACCGTGTGGCTGCTTCGGCGACCCCAGCACAAAGCTCATGTACGTGCTGAGACTCGGGTCGCTCGCCCAGCGGAACGGCGGCGGCAGCGCAACCACCAGCAGTGGCGGCGTCTCGCCCCCGTTGCGGATGTCGCTGTGCGTGAGGCGGCCACCCGTCGCCGTCGCCACGGACAGTGTCGGGCACGGCACGTCGCTCCACCCAGGCGCCTCACTCACTGACAGACTCACGCTCGCCGTGTAGCTTGACTGCGGCGCGGCGGGTATACGGTTGCACCCAACCGGGCGCGGCAGGCGTACCGGCAGACAGTTGTCGCCGTACACACCCCTGATGCAGCGGCAGCGGCACCTGGCCGACATCGACTTGGTTGCGGGAGCGAAGCAGCTCACGTCAGCGTCGCACACGTCGCACGCCACGGTGCGGGTGCGCCCCACGATGCCGACGGACTCGTACATGCTCGTGTCCAGGCTCTGCCCGTTCTGCGCCAGGCACCCCACGATGAACTTGTCCTCNCCACGATGCCGACGGACTCGTACATGCTCGTGTCCAGGCTCTGCCCGTTCTGCGCCAGGCACCCCACGATGAACTTGTCCTCGGTGCCCCCCAGTGTAACAGTGCCGTCCATCACGGCGGACCCGCTGCCAGTGTTCCCGTACAGCGTGAGCGTGCTGTTTGAGAACTCCGCGCTGGATGGTGAGGTCGGCAGCGACAAGATCTGGCCGGTGATGCTGTTGTTGCTCACCGAAAGCCACGACCCGGACGCGAAAGACGCCAGCTGCCCCAGCGTCAACAGCGCACCAGCACTCAGCACACCGGTGTTGTCGGTTACAACAACAGCAGTCGCGTTCGCCGTTATCCCACTGTCGAACACCAAGCCGCGCTCGGCGTACACCTCACTCTCTGTCACGCGCAGTGCGCTGCCCTCCGACGCGGCCACACGCACACCGGCATGTAGCGCGCACTCACCGCTAAACACAACTGCGTCCAGTGCGATGCCACCGCTGATGAGCTCTAGCGCCGCACCATCGGCGACCAGCGTCCGCCCGCCCGCCAGCACCGTCACCAG